TCTCCTAGGACCTTGGCATCATCTTCGTGTGGCTGCCAGAGATGGGTAGGGTGGAAGCTTAGAAGGTGGTGCGGCATGTTTGGGGCACAGACCTGAAATCAGGTGACTTTGCTTTAGCTCCTGGTTTAATGACTCAAGTGCCATCACCTATCTCCATTACAAAGTGGGGTTGAGGAAATTGAGCTTGGGTCTGCTGGAGAAGCAAGGGAAATGACTTGGTAAGCACACAGCATTCTCTGCTACAGATCCGAATGACTTCTCTGTGACAGTACCTGATGGAGACCTTTTTGATCTCTTTTTAAAACTTTATTTATGTATTTGAAAGACAGAGATATAGAAGGAGACACACACACACATACATACATACATACACATAGAAAGAGAGAGAGAGAGAGAAACAGAGAGATGGGTCTTCTATTAGTTCATCCTTCTGCTGGTGGCAATGGCCAGGCTAGGGCAGCACCAAGTGCCTGTAACTGCATCTGTGTTCTCCATATGGGTGGCAGGGCCCCAAGTACTTGGACCATTCTCTTTTGCTTTCCCAGTATTAGCAGGGAGCTGCATGGGAAGTGCGACAGCTGGGACCGGAACCAGTGCTCAGGTGGAATGCCAAGGCTGTAGGCAGAGGCTTAGTCCACAGTACCACAATGCTGGCCCCTTGTCCTCATCTTGCTCTCTTGGCAGCTTTCCAGAAACCTGGTCCCATCTTCCTCTTTGTAAGCCTGTCTCCTGGACTTGAGTCACTTCTTCCTAGTCTCTGTTGCAGATTCTCTCTTTCCTCCTCCACCCGGCAGCTAAATGGCTAAGGGGAGGGCAGGAGATGTTCTACATGACATGCTCTCTCTTCCTCCATCCATCTCTCTCTTCCTCACTGTTCTCCCTTCCCAAGGCTGCAAGTGTCTGCATCCCAAAGTCTCTCTCCACTAGCTACCCTGCCACTCAGACCGGCACCCACTACTCATACACTGTCTTCATTCAGATGCTTTGCTACATCTAAAATTCAACACTCATTGACCCAAGCTCACAAATCCACCTCCCTCTGTGGCCCGCAGCAGGCTGCTTCTCTCCCCCAACTCCCTTTGTGTCTTCATCACCCAGGTGCTCAAGCCAAATCTTAGGAGTTGACCTTGCTTTATTTCCCCTCCCTCCTCCACTTCCATCTAAAGTCCATCAACCTGGAAACTCCATGCTCAGATATACCTGAATTCATTCATCTTTTTGGTTTCTGCTATCATAGACCAACCCATAGTTATTTCCTTTTGCCATAAGTATGCAGTAGCTCCCAGATATTTTCCTGTTTGCTCCTTCTGCACCTGTACCACTCACCACACAGCAGCCAGGGTGAACTGCACCCCATGTGGATGGCTCAGACTGCTTCCTCCTTAGTCTCTGATTGGGCCCAGTTGCACCCACCCTTTCAACAGGGACTCTGAGGCCTTAGGATGAGGTCACACAAGGCCTGCCTCCGTCATTCCAGCTCTGCTGCCCTTCCCCTCGGAAATGCGGGCAACAGATGAACCAGTGCACTCAAGATGAAGTCTGCCAAGAGCCTAGAGTCTGGCTTGGGGCAGAGGTTCTAATTTGAAGAAAAGATGTCAACAACCAGCTCTGTTTGAGAAAGGCTTGAGGTACAAACCCAAGTGATCCAGGTAGAAGGGCTGATGTAGAAGGGACCATGATGCCACTGCCCATCCCTGTATGCTCAGCATGCAGCCTGGTGGCTGTCATTAAATCTTTTCTGAACAAATGAATGATGCAAGGCATGAATGCATGAATGCCTTGACTTTTGCTTTACTGGCACACATGGTCTGGTGTGGGAAGCTTAAGAAGTAAACTGATGTTCAGTACTACTGTAAAGAATACAAGGGGTACACATGGAGCACCCCTGGGGCAGGGAAGGCTTTGGACAAGGAGGGGACACTTTGCTGGGACTGGAAGGACTATCAGGAATGAGTAGGCAGTGGGTAATCCAAATGCAAAGCATGGAAATGCAGATGAATGAGAGTGGGGCTCATTGGTGGGGAGCTACAAGAGCAGGTAGCAGACCAGGCAGTGTGTGATCAGCTATCCTACTGCATGTCACAGACCCCAGGGCTTTGCAAAGGAGAGAAAACGGAGGTCTTTGGTTAGCGCATAGTAGGTTCTCCAGAGGCAATGATGGAAAAGATGTTGACCGAATTACTGCGGGCCATTGGGAGCCTTGATGGGGCTTTGAAGTGTAAAATCATGGTCTAGATGGGAGGCAAGACATGAATCAGGGTCATAATTAATATTGATGAGTAGACAATCCTCGATGACGCAGCCATCTCGAGAGGGGCAAAATCAGGTGGATGACGGGGTGCGGTGTACACTCTGCAAACCACTGTGTCTGGCCCTGCCACCGTGGGAGGGAGGGGGGCGGGAGGGCAGCAGAGGGGCCTCATGACTCATATAGTCACTGGGAACAGGCTGCCTGTGCTTTGCTGTCCCTGCCACCTGGTGGAGGGCTGGCCTGGGTTGGGGGGGGCTCTTCCTTTCTGCACTGCCAAGGAATGTTGATCCCCCGGAAAGGACTTTGGGACATGGGGATTCTGCAGAGCTGGGGAATTCCACTTGTGTGAGGGGCTACCTGGAAAAAAAATAGGATGAGGGACTGGGGAGGCCATGGGTGGCCTCAGATGGAGGCCAGGAAGCCAGAGCAGGGGGCTTGGGGCAGGGAGAAGATGAGCAGGTCCTTTTCATTGCTTTGCAAAAGGATAAGAGTATATGAGTCATCCCTGGGTCAGTCTCTCTCTCTCTTTCTCTCTCAATCACAAACCTTTCAGATCATCCTGCTTGATGCCCACATGTTTCATTTTTAGCCATCACCAGCACATAGGTGGAGGCCCAAAATGTCTTGTTATTGAGTTAGCTATGGTCCTAAGGCGTTTATGTTAACCAATACTGAGCTTGCCTCCTTCCCATTCTGCACAGGGAGAGATTGAGGCTTGGAGGAGCAAAGCGATTTTTGCTCAAAGTCACACAGACCCCCAAGTGGCAGGATTGGAAAAAGGCAGAGCAGCTCCTGGAATCACTTGTTCTAGGGGTAGCCTCGGGCGGTGCAGGGAAGGGAGGGCTCCCCAGAGGAAATCAAGGAAAAAAGTGACTAACAGCCAGTAATCCAAACTTTATTCACATGTCAGGTGCTAAGGGGTCCTAGTCCAGCTGGGGTGAGATCTAGCTGGATCATGTGGGTGGAGGATACTGGGCAAACATCTTACTCCTCCCCAAGCCGTTCTTTTCCCATCTGTGTGATGAGAGAATGAGCACCAATCCACAGGGTCCTTGTTTGAAGTAAATGAAGTGCCTGGATGCCTTATAGGAGCTTAGTAGGCACCAATGCCCTCTCTTTTGTCATTGCTGGGTGAAGGTGGCTTCTCCCAGTCTTTCTACAAATGCAAGCCGAGGGCCTGCTAGGAACCAGACCTATACTACCTTCTGGGAAACACACTCAAGGAGGAAGAGGCTGGTGCAACAGGAGGAGGGGTGGTAGAGTGATTCAGACTGATCAATGGGACAAAACCAGCTGCCCTGGCCTGCAGGAATACAGGGGGTTGCTCTCTTCAAAGTGGGAAGCCCCGGGACGGTATGTAGTTGTGGCAGAGATGCCAAAGCTGCACCAAATGCTGACTGTCCACCCTTGAACTCTCTCCTTCCTGGCCAGGCCCGATGGGAACCTGGAGTTTGGTGCGCTGGGGCAGGAGCAGACCCACTTGGAAAACCAAGCTGACCCGGCGAGCAAGGTGGGTGCCAGGGTGCTGAGTCACAGAGAAACTCAGGTTCAGAACATGGTAAAAACAGAACCAGAAACAAGGGCTCGTCATGGCTGAGCTAGGCTTCCTCCTAAGACACTGTATTCCCCTCTCCCTTTTTTTCCTTTGTTACATTGACTGAGCAATTGAGCTCTCATCTGCAAACCCAGCTAGTTCATATTTTTTGGACTTTTTTTCCTTTTTCCCTTTTTTCCCCCCGCAAAATAAATAAGCCCACCTCAGGAGGAAGGAGCTGGGGATCAAGAGGAGGTGTTTCCTTGCACCTGCTTGCAGGTGGCCAGACCCAGAGACGGAGTACGGTGCATGAAGGTCAGCAAGTGTTGGTGCCAAAAAAAAAGTGCATTTCTAAACAAGCTCTGCCGAGGACCAGGGTTGGCTTATTTTCTGAGGCTGAGTCTGTGCGTCCTTGCGTTTGAGTTCTTCCAGGATTTGGGGGATCAGCTGTACTGGAGCTTGTTTTACATTTTACCAGGAGCGTGGAGATCCCGCTCCAAACCGGATCATGCAACTTCTGTAGAAATACCAGGAGGGTTTGGACAAAGTCCTTCCCCGCAGGAGATCACAGGACCCAGGGCTGCTGGCCCTGATGGCTGATGTGCGGCCCTGTTTGCAAGTCCTGGCAGGGAGCCTGTGACCTCCTAAAGGATTTTGCTGGCGCCAGAATTCTGGGTGTCCTCGTGACCCGTGGGGTGGGGCGGGGGATGCCTGTGTGTGCCCCCGACACTGCGCGCGTGGCTGTTTGTACGTGTTGGTTGGTAGCAAGTGCGCGAGGATGGCCGCCGGTGGGTGTACGCGAGGCGCCCGGCCTAGGGGCTGCGCCTGCTCTGCCCACTTGTGGCTCCACGGCGCCGCCAGGAGGAAGCGCGCCTTTGCCGCCTCTGCTCAAGGCGCCGCGGGATAGGAAGACGCGAGTCTGCCGAGTCTGCGAGAGATGGCAGCGCGCTCTGCCTCGCCGCCTCCGCCGCTCAGCCCCGGACTCCTTACGTCAGGGTAGCTGGGTGCCCCCCCACCCCGCCCCCTCCGCGCGGGAGACTGTGAGCGGCTGGAGAACAGAGCAGAGCGCGCCGCGGAGCCCGGGCGCCCTCATTCCACGCGTAGCCCGGCCGAGTCCCGCCGAGCTACGCAGCGCGGAAGGCAGAGCCGCCCAGCTTCGCGCCGGACTCCTGCACACATCTCGGCCACCACCGCCACCGCCAACACTCCTCCGGTGCGCCCCCCGCCATGCGCACCGGGCTCCGCGGCTCTCCTGAGCAGCCTCAGCGCGGCGGGCACCGGAGCCTGGGCCGGGACGCCTCTTGCTGAAGTGGTTGGGTGGCCCGGGCAAGGGGTCGCCACGTCGGGGACGCGGTCAGGATCCGCGGAGTTGGCCCCCGAACGCGGGGAGCGGGGCCACCCGCGCCACCCCACCATTACCTCCCCGGGCGGCAAGGAGGAGCTGGTGGCGGTCGCCTCCCGGTTGTGGCAGCGGCGGCGGCGCGCCTGCCTCGCAGCCGTCGGCGTACTCCTGGCCATGGCGCTGGGGTTGCTCATCGCCGTACCGCTGCTGCTGCAGGCGGCGCCCCCCGGTGCTGCCCACTACGAGATGATGGGTACTTGCCGCATGATCTGCGACCCTTACAGCGCCGCACCGGGCGGGGGGCCCGCGGGAGCCAAGGCACCGCCGCCCGGACCCAGCACGGCCGCTTTGGAAGTCATGCAGGACCTCAGCGCCAACCCTCCGCCTCCCTTCATCCAGGGACCCAAGGGCGACCCGGGGAGACCAGGCAAGCCAGGGCCGCGGGGGCCGCCAGGAGAGCCGGGCCCACCTGGCCCTAGGGGCCCTCCGGGCGAGAAGGGTGACTCGGGACGGCCTGGCTTGCCGGGGCTGCAGCTGACCGCGAGCTCGGCGGGCAGCGTCGGAGTGGTGGGCGGCGGAGCTGGGGGCGGAAGCGACTCTGAGGGCGATGTGACCAGTTCGTTGAGCGCTGCCTTCGGTGGCCCCAAGATTGCCTTCTACGTGGGCCTCAAGAGCCCCCACGAAGGCTACGAGGTGCTCAAGTTCGACGATGTGGTCACCAATCTGGGTAATCATTATGACCCCACCACGGGCAAGTTCAGCTGCCAGGTGCGCGGCATCTACTTCTTCACCTACCACATCCTCATGCGCGGAGGCGACGGCACCAGCATGTGGGCGGACCTCTGCAAGAACGGCCAGGTCAGTGGTCCCAGGCCCCACGCGCGCTCGCGCCCTGGGGAGCACCGGGGAGAACCCGCCTCTCTCCCGGTCCGTGAGCTCCCGAGGGAGTTCTGGGAAGGAGGCACACAAAAGCAGTGGTGCCGCGGCATTCCGCTTGCCCACGCTCCGGGACCGCGTTTGGCGGAACCCAGTGCCAGAGACCCCCCACATCCATCATGGGACTTGCTTCCCCGCTTAAGGTCCGGTGGGTTCCTGGTTCCTGGAAAACCTGTTTGTTGGGGGTGGGGGCGATTCCCGATGGGCACCTGGATATCACCTTCCCCTTCAATAGTCTCTTTTCTTCCCGCTCCCCCCCACCCCGCCCCGCCACCCCCGTGGTCCCTGGCACGCGCCCTTCCTCGCCCGGGTCAATGACCACCAAAGTCTCCTCTCCTGATCTTCTTCCTCTACTTGTTGGCGCCGGGCAGGAGTTGGCTAAGTTGGTGAGGGCGCACACCTGGGGCTTGGAGTGTGGAGCCCTAAGCCACAAAGCCGGCCGAGGGAAGGGACACGAGGTGGGGCGCCAGGCAAGGGCTAACAGGCTCCCCCCCCTCTTCCTCTCCTCGTCCCAACTTCCCCAGGTGCGAGCCAGTGCCATCGCACAGGACGCCGACCAGAACTACGACTACGCCAGCAACAGCGTGGTGCTGCACCTCGACTCGGGCGACGAGGTGTATGTGAAGTTGGACGGCGGCAAGGCGCACGGAGGCAACAACAACAAGTACAGCACGTTCTCTGGCTTTCTGCTGTACCCGGATTAGGGGCGCGAGCGCGCAGTGGGGAGGGGATACACGCCAACCTGCCCACCCTACCCACGGGAGGTGCGTGCACGCGCCGCTCCCCTGGCAAGGGCCACTTTCTGTTTTACGACACTTCCTGACATATCCGTTGGAAAAAGGCGCATCCCTGCGGTCCTCCCTGCCCCTGGCCTCAGTGAAACTCTCCAAGCTCTGGGTCGCGCCCCAACCTCCCCATCCGGTCCCCAGCTCGGGGGAGGGAGATGGGAATGTCCCAGTGGCGGTGGCGAGCTGAGCCTGACCCCAAGCCTTCCTGCTGGCATAGCAGTGGTGGCAGGCAGGCAGACTTTGCAAACCTGATGGGGTTGGACAGGTCAGGAGCGGGGAGCCTGCTTTCTTTGCAGAGCCTCTCCATGCCTATGGTGTCCTGAGGCCGTGGGGCTCCAAAGTGTATGGGCCTCCTTCTTTGTGACCTGAAATACCTGTGTAGATATCCCCGTCCGTCAGCCAGAAACTCACTCGTGGCAGAATTCCAGCACACAGAAAACTCATCTTTCGACACTACACTCCCTCCCGCCTCACATCCGCAGCGATGCATTAAATTATGTTTTTAGATGATGGGCTCCGGTGTCTCTGTCAGCGTGCCCCCTGGGCACCAGGGCCCCGGGACCCCACATGGCTACTTTGGCTGGCATCAAGATCTTAGCTGATCTCCAGGGTCTGGAGAAGTGCCTAGGGTGGGAAGAAAGGAACCCTGGGCGATCTTCTGTCTTGGTCACTTAGTGGTAATGGCACAAAGGGGAGAAGGGGCTCCTGCGGCGCAGAAATCCTAAGCATCCCGGTGAGTAAAAGCCCTGCCAAGATGCGCTGGAACGTGGGGTGCAGATGCTCTTGGATGTGCAATATGGGCACCCTAAGCCCAATTACCTGCACCCCAGCTAGGTCCCTAGCTCTCAAGAAAAAAAAAAAAAAAACCTGTTGCAAATCCAGGCAATTCTGTGATTTGTCCAGCTCCATGAACTTACCCTGAGCTACCCTTGTCCCCAAGGTTGGGCAAGATAGATCTCACCCTGCCCAAGGGAATACCCCTTTTCTGGGGTCTTTGCTTCCCTCTGGCATGGGCTTTGGTGTACCTGCTCTGAGCTCCCCATATATTTATGGGACTGCTCTCTTTCTCATCTACAGGCAGATGAGGAAGATACCCCACCTGGTTTCCAGATTTTTCTTTTTTTTTGCTTCTGATGTTTTCACTCTCAGGTTGCTGAGTTCCAATACTGAGGAAGTTATCTTAGCAAATCACCTGCCAGTAGCCTGCTGGGACCGACTGCGCTTGTTGTAACTGGTTGTTTGAAAGGAGCTGTGTGTGTGTGTGTGTGTGTGTACAGAGGCAACCCCAGAATGTGTCTGTGTAAAACTAGAGGTGCACACATTATGTTATATACACAACATACATGTGGCAATAGCCTTGTGGTCCTGCTGCTAAAGCCTGGTGATTCAGGTACCTGCAGGAATGCAGGGGTCCCTGCCAATGTGTTCTGTGAAAGCACCCGCAGCTGTGCACCCATCACCACCACCCCCATCACCCCGTTTGCATTGTGCTCCCACTTGGCTTCCCAGAGATGCTTCCCATTTAACAGGTAATTACACCCCCTACCTTGAATCCTCTGGCTGTTGCTGTCCCCTTTGTATGCTCTTATTTTATTTGAATAATGATTTGTTGTTATTCACTTGAATATAAGGAATGATTACCTCTACTTGGAGTCCGGGGATAAAGTATTCAGAGGCAATGAAAAAAAACTGTCTGCAAATTATCATCCCCCAACTCCAGGCCCAAAGTAGACCCCCCCCCCAGTCTGTACCTCACCCCACCCCATTCCCACTGACGCCGGAGCCCCAACCCAGCTGAGCCCAGGACCTGGGGAGAGCAGTTGAGTTGGCCTCGTCTATGGCTGGGTAGGTATCAATTTCTGATGCCTTGTTGATCGGGCTCATCCAGAAATACGATTAACACCGAATGTCTGAGACCCAAATGAAGTCTAATTGCTATGGATCTGCGATCCCCAGTGGGCCCCTAATCCTTTTTGACTTATTCCTCCCCTTCCTCTGATGAGACGGAGCTTAGACACAAAACCCTCAGTTTAAATTTCAAAAATTAAAATTGACATGCAGCGGTGGCTTTCCTGGGAGCGGGAGGGATTTCTGAGGAGATGCCAGAGACTGGCTTGATCCTCTGCATTAAGAAGCAAATTGTACTTCCGACAAAATCCCTACCACTCCCCTTTGGCCGAAGGGGCCGTGGAGACATCCTACCCCAGGGTCCGGCTGTCCACAAGACTTAGATTTGAATCCGAGATTCCTCCATCTGTATTCTTTGGTGCAGCTGAGCTCTTGCAATTCTAATGCCGGGGCTGCTGGGAGGTGCTGCCAGAGGTGTCAGCTGCTAAGAGGATGATGGATTGATGAGGCAGCGGGTGGAAGGCACAGCCGGGTAAGAACTGGCCAGTGCTGGAGCAGTGGCTGCATTTGTACATCGTCCTGGTCCCCAGGCTGGTCCCACCTGGCCCAGAGTACCTTGTTCTTGCTAGAGAAGCAAGTGCATTGAGCTCTCAGCCGACTGCAGGTGACACAGCACAAGAGACCCTTCTGCCTCTTTGGTGCAAGTGGCCCCGTAGAGGCTACTACACAGGGTCTCCCCTCCCCGCTTTTGGAAATTGGGCTGAACGCCTTGGCCTCAGAGTCAGTGTTGATCTCTGGTCACCGCTCCAAATGCTCCCTTGGGATTTGTGTAAGGCAGCCCCTCCCCGCTCCCTGGTCCCTTTCTCTTCAGGTCCCACTGGTCACTTTCTGTTACAATCCCTCTCTGTCTTGTCCCTCTTGGTGGCAGTGGGCAGGAGGGCATCTCGCAGGTGCAAGAGAATTTAGCAGTAGTGGATGCTGGATGCTCTTGAGTGATGAGAGGACCCTTCCCCATTCTCATTCTCAGCAGCTTAGGTCTGCCTGGGTGTGTGAGATGCACAGCTGGCCCTGGAAATTCATGTGCTGATGACTCTTTCTTCACATTTCCCTCCTGTTTCTGTCTGTAGATGGCTTGCTTGGAGACCCAAGATAGAAAACCAGTTCCCTCAGCATCACCTCCCGGGGACCCCATTGTATAGATTGCTCATAGCAGACTTTCTTGGTCATGTGGTCCTATCAGTTAAGCATTTTTTTGGGGGGTGGTTCTCAGTCAATATGGGCACTTGACCTATGAATAATTTGTGTGTGCCACTATCAATATATACTTAAAAAGATCTTCCCTTCATTTTGTATTTCTATTCATTGTAGGATCTATATTCCAGCTTCTTAATAGAGTTTGAAACCAGATCTTCTCTCTTCTTGGCATAAAATGAAACTAAACGCACGTGTTTCTCTTCAACTTGCCATTTTCTGGAAATCTTATGAATGAAAATATGTTCCTTTAAAAGTCACAGATAAGCCTGTGTACTTTAATTCTTGGAGTGTACAATTTCAGTTCATGTTTCAAGTAGTAGTAAGGCTGGATTTTTCTTCTCTCACTTTCTTAAGATTAAAAATAAATAGAACCAAAGTTCCCATACTTGCTTTCTATGCCAGCTGGCGTAGAGTCTGATGCTGGTGTGGGAACCAACTCATGGCATTCCAACGGGCAGGCAGGGCAGGGTTTCGTCTGAAGCCCTATCTGACTGCCGGTGAGGATGGCCTGTTGGATGGAGATGAGGCGTCTTGGAGCAGCATTGCAGCTTCCTGTTCATGTAATAGGAATGCGGGTGCTTGGAAAAGTTCATGCAGAAATAGAATGAAAACTCTGGGTTTTTTTTTAGAAGTGTTTATTTTATTTTTGTTTGAAAGCAGAGTTACAGAGAGAAGGAGAGATATCATCCATCTTTTGGTTCACTCCCAAAGTGGCCGCAATGGTTGGAGCTGATCTGATCTGAAACCAAGAGCCAGAAGCTTCTTCTGGGTCTCCGACATGGGTACTTTCTGCACTGTCTTCTGATACCCTCCACTGTCTTCCCAAGCCATAAGCAGAGAGCTGGATGGGAAGTGGAGCAGCCAGATATGAACTGGTGCCCAAATGAGATAATGGCATGGCAGGCTTTACTGCTACACCACAGTGGCAGCCCCAACTTAAGTTCATTTTGATGCAAAAAGTTTGGAAACCCATGCATAGTTTTTTTTTTAATAGTATTAGTTTTTCATGAACTTTCTGAAGATCACATGTGTTTTACATTCCCTTAGTGAGTGAGGGCCCTGCCCAGCGGGTTGTAACAGGCAGTCTTTGAAACTAAATTGTGACATAATGATTTAAAAAATGCACACAAACACATAGATGAGGGTAATGAGCTTGGATGTGCCAGTCACCTGGTGCTAGCACTACAGCCAATCACTTACAGCTACAGTGTTTATGTATTAAGTCTTTGTTTTTTTAAAAAATATCTATTTTCTTTTTTAAAGAGAGAGAATCTTTCGTTTGCTAGTTTACTCTCCAGATGCCCATGATAAGTGGGAATGGGGCAGAAGCTGGGACACTCATACTCAATCAGGGTCTCTCATATGGAGGGCGTGAACTCAAGTACTTGAACCATCACCTGCTGCCTCCCAGGGTGCCTGTTAGCAAGAATCTGGGTCAGAAGCAGAGCCAGGACTGGGGCTATACAAGTGGGTGTTCTATGATGGTATTTTAATCACTGTGTCTGATGCCCCCTCACTTATTAACATTTTTACAATGTGTGGGCAATGGGTATGGTGCCTCCCCAATCCCCTGCAAAGTAGGTGTCATTGCAAGGCTTGGTCCCACTCCACAAAAGAGGGACCTGAGGCACAGATAGAAAAGGGACCTTTCTAAGGCAAGAGCCAGGGCTGGTGCCGGGTGACTTCTGAGCCCTAACTCTGTTTTTGTTGGAATGCTGCAGGAACACAGAGGTGGGACCCTAACAAGATGAATCACAGTGAGGGTGTTTTTTTTTTTTTCTTCCTTTATTTTTTTTTTAATTGGAAAGGCAAAC